ATTATTTTATATAACTGGAAAATTTTAAAACATCCCTCACAAAAACAATATAGTTATACCGTTCGTTCCTCAAAAAAAAAAGATAAAATACGAGTGTATTATCCGATGACTGTTATAAATGTTGTAGATTCTCGACGAAGCGATGAGGAATTCTAACGTGCATATTGGTTTCTTCTTATTATTCTTTTGTTTTTCGTTTAAACTAAGCCCATTAGAATAAACAAACAACAAATAGGTGTGTCAAAGGAAAGATGAGCTACAATGTTTTCAGGAAAAAAAAAAAAGAATAATTGCATGAGCACGTGAATGATCTATTGTCATTAAAAAGTACATAAACCCGCGTATTATTAAAACACATCATACTAACACACAAAATATACATGCATCACACTCCGAATACGCTGCAGTATTATTATATAAAGTTTGAACTGAACACAATAACTCCTGCTTGCAAACGCGTAGAGTTCTGTTAGAAAAAAATTAAAAAATAAAATAATATTTTAAAACAATTTGTGTTATACATGACGATACATCCTTCGCTCGTCCGTTACACCGATCACAAGATGTATTCGAATTACGACACGTATTTCGACGGTCTGGTTAACACCCACTACATCGTTGTCACTGCAGAATTTCATAGACTACGCGATGTCGAACATGTGTTCACAGTGTAATCAGTGACAATGCCACAATTGCCAAAAGTGCCACAACAAAGGAGGTATCCTGTTTTCTTGTCATTTTTTCAGGGAATGGCCAGGGCAGTGCATTTCTTTTGATCTCGTAAAATTTGATTGTCAGTTTTGACAGTTGGTTTTTCCACAAATCGAGCGTTTACTTGGCTATAGTACTTTTAACGTTTTGGTATGAGGAAAACGTGGTTGTAAGGGAGTTGTTAGCGGAGTGGGCATGTTTTGAAGACTTATCAGCCTTGTCGTTGTCTTCTATATTGCAGTTATTTAGTGTTTATATCACACTAGGAAAATAAATAAATGTAAATGCATGTTTGAAGTTCGCCTCTCCCCCCTATAAAATGGTCTAGAAACCCAACTGGTATCTATACTCTATTTGCTTCACCCTCGAGCGTTACTTTATAAAATAAATATATCCTCATTATACTACGCAAAATTGATTGTGGGAGTAGTGTAATATTATGATTTTCTTTTATATTCATGGTTTTACGTATTTCGAAACGCAAATAATTTTACTGTAATTATAATAATTACAACACACGTTCGTAAAATATATCAGCCATCACATTTTACATATTTTGTACACGTCTAAAATTTTAATATGAAATTCTATTCGAATGGTTCTTAAAAATTATTAATGAAGAACCACATCGTGGGCAGAAATATCTTCAGTACATTATAGTATCCTAACCAAATTACATCAATAACAACAATGCCGTCGTATTAAGCGCGTATTATTTGCTTTTCGAGTAACATTAATTTTAAATAATCACCAATGGACAACGTTCTTATATAATAATTAGTGTCAGCTAAGTAAGATGAAAAATAATAATTATAAGTTATTCGAAAAAATTAAATAATATTACATAATATAATCATAGCGTACATAAAAACATAATGTATAAAGAAAACCTCTCTTGTTATTAAGTAGTTTTACGGTTACTTGTAACGTTATGTCAAAAAAGTAAAACGTGAATAACGTTGTATGAAAAAATAAAATGTAGTCGCTTTTCATTATCAAAAGACTGTATTTATGTTATTAAATTGCAAAGTTAAGTTGAGTTCTTATTTAGTTCTCATAATAGATTTTTTCATATCCATTATATAAATTTATATAATTTGCGTAACAAAAGAGGAGGATAATAGGATAATGATTTGATAAATGATTTATCCCATAATAATATGATGCTTATAATTTCCAATGCTTATTAAATAATCTCTCTGCAACGTTAGGTTCACATTATATATATTATAATACAAATGATGTGAACGTAATTGTTATTAATATATTTACGTCTGACTTACGTTGATACTCTAAAGGCGTACCGTTGTATAAAAAAAAAAAAAAAAAAAAAAGCCTATTATAATATGTTTTACAAATTATTTATTAGTTTTGAGTCAAACAAGTTTTCAAAATGTAAATTTAATTATTGTTTACAATAGGTTACTACCAGCCGTCTTGTACGTTACAGAATCGTCTTTATTTTATACAAAAATATTGATCTACAATAAACTGACGTTTTACCGTCGAAAAAGTCGTTACTGAGTTTTCTCATTATTCATACTTATAAGTAATATACCACGGTCCAACATGGTCGCATATAATATGCTTATTGTGCCGTATAATGTACATAGATCATGTGTAGCGAAATAATAATAATAACAATACTTTGTTTTCGTTCCGTTGTCTAATAATGTCCAACTACATGGTGTGGTTTTGCGTACGGAATCACCAAAACGTGCTCCGTTGTAGATTCCAAGTAGAATGAGAAATGTATTGATTTTACAATTTTACCGTAACGTTTTTATTTTCTGCAAAAACATTTTCCGGTAGTAAATCAGCACTAAATGTCTCGTTCAATATTTCGTAGTATCGGAAATTAAACGCAGCTGGTGGGCTGTAATTTCAAGTCATTTTTCCCGTATTGGAAAATCGAAATCTTACGAAAAATGTTACATTTCCTTCATCAGCAATAGCTAAGCTAGGATTTATTTATTTATTTATTTATTTTGATTAAATAAATGTTTTCATATCTTTAAGTTATATACAAGATTAATCCGTATCAAATAAGCCTAGAATTGTCAACATCAATTTGACTGGGTCACAAAATTTGAAATGTTGCTTCACTGTTGAATATTGACAAAATAAATTATTAATATTTTGCCATCAGCCTGTGCTTTTCGTATAAAAATATGTGATTATAAAATAATGTTTTACAAAAACAACATTAATTATTTACCATGTGATACACATTTCAGTTGTAATTATCTCGGACAAAATATTGGGAGTATATATTTCAAAGTGTCCCATGAAGATGTGAACATTGATGTATTAGGTTAGGGTATATTTATAATATTCTGATTTACAGAGTACATCCTATACATAGATATTTCAATGATATTCTGTATTTTTTTTTTTTTACTCGCGTGATTCTTTCGTTTTGTTTCCTCCGTTATTAAGATCATAGACGATTGTCACAAACTGGTGGAGCACATTTCTTCAAACTAGAAAATGCTAAAATATTATAGCGGTCACTGCAATGCACGTAGTGCTTCCAAAATACATTCTTATGTGGAATTGTTAAGAATATTATTATCCATCGAGTACATTTCAAAAATATTGACTTTTATTGTATCTTGCAGCGCCTTATAATGATACGTTTTATCTAAAACATTTCGAAAAAGATACACGTACCTAATCCCAAAAGTTTTTGATTAACGGATATATCGGCTGCGTTTAGAGTAATCATATCAAGGTACGTTTTCCTATGAACGCGTTTTTTGTGCCGCAGAAATCGATCAAGTTGACATGATAGCTCTATTACGTATTGCACGGCGTAGTAGTGTTTTCCTACAAAACTAGTGGCAACGCGTCGAACAATTCAGTTGACTACTGAAAATGTTACTAGTGTGTAGCATATACCATATTGTAATAGATGAAGACGACTACGACGAGTAATTCTTCAGATCAAATGGTAATTTTATGATTTCTAACGATTCGATTAGCTATTCGTCGTCGTCGTTCGAAAAACGAACGTCCGGTCCAACAAAACTATTTTTTTTTTTTGCATATTATTGCTTAAAAACACTTACTATATTAATAATAATATATTAACATCATAATTTAATGATATGTTTGACAAAATAGCAAATTAAAATAGAAACAAAATAACCGTTCATAAAACGTTGTGCACAGCGATATAGACTCCCTTCGTCGTCAGTCGGCGAAACGCACCGATATGAAACGTGTTGCGTTCTGTAAAAGAACAGTGTGATTAATTTCAAAAGAACAAGTGAATAACGTACTGCGTTAAGCAAATTACGTTAAACACGACGCAAAAAACGCGCTCCTAGAAAAATGTACTTTTACTATACGCCTATTGTTTAGTTGAACGTGTGATGCTATCGAAACACGAGTTGCCAATGTTATAATCATTTTATTTTGTATAGTACCACGGATATTCAAATATTAAGTGTTTTTGAAACGTGCAGAGGAAAGCGTTGTTTTAATATTGAAAACTATAAGTATAGTGAGTTCTGTATTTTAAAATCAGGTGATCTGTTGTTTAGATGAGCCAATAAAAAATGTACAATGTAAAAATGTTTTCTACAGTTCATGTATGCAAACGAGTCCTACGTTTGGGTCATTTATCAAAGGTATTAAAAATTCGTGTGCGCAATTGAGTTGTACATTTGTACGCAAACGGGTATCGCTCCAAATTTGTACATTTATAACACCCTTCCTCCAATCAATATTTGCTAGTGATCAGCCCAGCGTGTACACACGAATACGATCTCTACTACAGGAACACCTAGCGACTTTCCTAGACTCTCCAGTCTCTATGTTATATATTTTTTTTTCGATCAATTAGAACATTTTAATTTAATTTGCAAATTGAAATCGTTTCTTTAATTATAATGACAGATATTGGTTTTGGGAGTTTAGTTCACTGTCATAAAATATGTTTACTTTTATTTCAACTCAACCGTTTACGAATCAATCGGTTTTTAAAATGATGTTTGAAAATCAATAATATTACTCATCCTCCCTATACCGAGATACTATATGTATATATAATTCTTTGTGATGCACATGGGTAACACGTTATATTATTATTGAAAGATATTTACAAATAAAATGCATTACGATAAAATCACCGTATTGTGAGTGTGTTCTCTATATAATAGAAACGTTTTTTTTTTTTTTTTTATACAGTTTTGTGGTTCCACATAAAAATTTACTATACATAGAGTTTCGTCAAATAGAGGTTCTACTATACAGCATATAATTTGTTATGGTTATGATTTCAGAATTTTTTGCGGGATTTACTGAAAGAAGCGAAAAAAATAAACGATGTGTCCGAAGACAAACTCATCGAGTACACCGACACAATGGTATGTTGACGAGTGATTTTTTTCTGTTCGACAGCAAAACGTTCGTACATTATATAATATTAAACTTCGTTTCGAGTAAACTTTAGCTTTTTCCCGGAACGTCGATTGCTGTAGTTATAATATACGGATAATCTTATCAGTACCGTACACGCGATACGCGTACAAAACTTATTTTAAATAACTTTGGTTTCGTTTTCTTTAGCTGCAAGTGTTCGACGCGAACAAGGACGGGAAACTGCAGCTTTCTGAGATGGCTAAGTGAGTAGAATAATATGTATTGTAGGCGATACCGTTTGTGTAACTTGGTAACAGACGGGTTTATCGCGCACGAACGATTTAATACGAATACCTTTATTTTCACACCCTCACAGATTGCTGCCCGTCAAGGAGAACTTTTTGTGCCGTCAAGTATTCAAGGTACGTACAGATGCACAATAATGCGAACATACATTTATGTATGTATTTATTATGCCTACACGCTCAGCAACACCCTGGTACGTGAGCATATCATCTGGAACGTCGTTTCTCAATCTTTTTAGTAGAGTAACCCCCAAAATGAGTAAGAATTAACTCATCCCATGACCTCTTTGTAATATATACTGATGCGAGTCAGATGATCGGTCTCACTAGTTACTAATGTTTTACTACTTGTGGAACAAATAACTAGCAAATTACGCCCTTTACGAAAAAAATTATTTCTAAATATTTTAATTTTTTTATTTGTCGTATTAAATGAGTAAAAATAAAATATTTTTTCGCTAAAATTGGCATTTAATTATATTTTATCGATGCAATTGCATGTCTACGGAATCATGATCACCAGATTGAAAGACGATGATCCAGAAGTTATGTGTCTGTACTCATAGATCATAGATCAACCGCAATGTTGTGATTTCATGTAACATTAAAAACTTGTCCTACTTTTATTACCAATACCGTAATCTTTGTACATATTTCATCAACTGCAACTTGGTACAATTCACTTGTAAGTGCTTCAGAGACAGAGATCTTGTGAAATGTCGAGGTATCTGATAGCAAACTGGTGTGTGGGATGTTTGTTTCACCGGCCGCCCAAAAGCTTATCGTTACAAAAATATTTTCTCACCCATAGAAACATTCTTTATCTCGTACTGAATTTACAGCCGTCTAAGGCCTAACGGTCTAAGCCCCCGAATCGCTCTCTGCCCCCTCGATCACCGTTCACGTGGTGCGCACGAGCTCAACGCGAGCAATGATGTACGGATTGGTGAGCGGACACGACATAACGGGGGGTACACACCATACGATGCGTGGTGACGTGAGGGCGAGAGAAATAAATTGGCCACGGGATCGCACCGCGATCGCGTGTTAACGGTAAATATACGAAGACGAAATAATAAAGTACGCGACGGTGTTGTTCTGTTCAGCTTTTAACGCGGCGGCTGCGCAAACAGTGATGGCCTCGACGGCAGTAACGCGTATAAATATACACCTCCTGCACCCTCTCCTCCTCGCGGACAACTACGACCGCGACGCGTGTAGGGCGTACGTTATGTGTCGGCGCACGCAGTCGGTTATACTTCACGCGGGTAGGTACCACGACCGCTCGACCTTCCCCAACCAGTCGTCCCGTCGTCGCGCTTTCCGGTCGGGTCAAACCATGCACACGGTGGGAACACATCGTGCGTACTCGCGATGACTCTATCCCCGAGTCCTACCAAACCGTCATAATATCATAGTAATAACAATAATAATAATAATAATATATCCGTCACGTTCTTCCCCGGGGTCACGGGTGTGGGTGCGAACCGAAAAGGTCAACGGCAAAAGTCCACCGGCTTCACCTCGGCGCGTCCTGGGCACGGGCTTCCGGTGAAACGTCCAGGGTTTACAACGACTGCAGGTCGCTTACGTCCGGCGGTGCGTAGGCGCACGTGTACGGCGCCGAAACACGAGTCGGAAATAAACGTACCCAATGCAGTGTACGAGTTTACGTAGTTGTTGCCCGTGTTTCGGACCCGAAACACTGGCTCGGTACGATTTAACAACAAAATCCACCTTTGTCACAACTTCCATTGTAACGGTCCGATGCGAATGAATATATGGTTGAAAAAAAGTGAAATAATACTTTTAGACTAGGTTAAAAAATATATTTCATTCACCGATATAGATGTTCAGTAGTTGCGCACATACGCGTCAACTGATTACTTAAAGGTTAAATCGTATGTAAATTATCATTAATACTACATCCATATTTATATATGGATGGAGGAACAAGGAAAAGTCTCAAGGATTTTTGTTGTTCCCAAACAACTAAAAAAATAATATTAATATTTCAAAATCCTCGCTTATGATAATAAAATATAGCATTTAAATACATTTTTTACTAAACCGTTTCCCAATATAAATATAAAAATAACATTACAGGTAGTTATTTTCACACGCTCAGAGTAAATGGAATAAAAATAGGATAAGGAGATAGTGGTTTACGTAATACCCGGATTACTACAGCTATGATAACCGGTGGCATATCAAGAATTTCATTCTGCGTTAGGTGGGAGTGTTTGGTTTGCACATACTTGATACGAACAGTATTATTTGAATATTTAGCAACATATTTCGAGGGACAAAGGTCTCAACCAATATCCTTCAAAATACCCCGTACAACGATTGAACGACATTTTCAAATTATCGTACGGCCAAATGTGTATGGGGACAATGGCGCCGAACCGCCGGGAATAAAAGTGTGTTCTTAGTTTTCAAAACTATATGCCCGAAAATTACAAAAAAAAAAAAAAAAAATACACGTAAAACATATGATAACTAACCTTTAAACAAAAAATATGTGACATGTCACTACTGAACCTCTGTAGATACTGAGTAGGAACATAGGTGTTCGCACGAGTAGTGTCGGGTGTGCCCGGGCATCCTCCTAAATGTTATAAATGAAGTCCTAATAAGTCCAAGAGTTAGTGACTCGTAATTTAACTGATGTTGATTAAATTAAATGTAATTTATTCTAAAATATTTGATAAAAATTAATGTTTCATAAAAGAAAAAATTAAATAAAATTTTCTACATTTTCAAAAACATCTTATGATAATATTAAAGCTGTAATTGATTTACCAACTGAGTACAAATAATAAATAATTTAAGCTATCTGTGAAAAATATACGAGATTCAAGGAAAACATATTCAATGACACTAATATACTTATATCATTAAGCATTAGAATAACATACTTTTATTGAAATATTTTTTTTATTAATTATACCAATTCGAATTCAATATTCATAATTAAGACAAAACAACGTCTGTCGGGTCAGCTAGTATCATATAAATAATAAACACTAATTATATAATTTGTAATTTTAATTATGAACATCAATATTATTTTGTTTTCATTCACCAGTACTTTGTTATACTAGATTTGAAGAGAGAAAATGAACACACGTGAATGCTCGTACACAATTATATTATAAAAATATCTATAAAAATTTGTAACAATTTAGGTGATAATAATAATTGAATTTGATTGAATTCAGACATGTCTGCTAAGCCGTTGGATTACTCTCGTGAAAACCAAGAGTCTTGTATGGTATTCAGCGTTTACTTGAATAAGGCATATAGATAGCTTGATTCATTACATATTACTTCAATATATTTTCCTCTCACATCTAAAACCTTATAAGTTCTTAAATATAAACGATACAGTCATTTTAAAATGTACAAGGCATACATCCAGAAACATTTAATCACATATATTTATGTACAATGCTTGTAATTATATGTTAATTGCTCAATAGCCAATCAACGTGCCTTTAAATGTCGCGCGCGTCCAAATATAATATCAAATTATGGTATACGTCGTGTAGTCTACCGCACTAGCGCAAACAAACCGTACACCTCTACAAACTAGCAAACAGACATGACATGTCTCCCGTGGACGATACTACCTAAATAATGCTACGAAAATTATAAAACAATTAACGCGGTCTTAAAACAAATTTTCTTTAATATATGCGACTAGCCCTGGGAACTGTATGGTAAAAATAAAATAATAATAAAAATAGTTACTCGACCACGAACCAAATATCAGTCAAAAATGAACAACCCCCTTGAAATAAACTCTTATAAATTATTTATTACAATATAATAGTTGTTATACTCGTCTACGAATAAAATATGTCTAAAATGTTTGGCGCCGCCGTCACCGAAATTCCATATAAATATTATTTATTGCTCTCGTGTTATATAACATGCGCGATTACAACACCAACATAATATATCTTAGACCAGCGTTTCCCAAAGTGTGTTCCTAACCTAACCTAACCTTAGGGTTCCGTGGGACAATGCTAAGGGTTCCACCAGATGTATGTGATTATCGAGAAACTTATTTTATATTTGGAAAAAATATTATTTCATATTTAAAAAAAATTGTGCTTTAAACTAATTTTAACAAAGAGTAATCATTAACACTATTAACAATACCATTAAAAATTTTTTTAAAGTATTGGTTTTCCTATATTTTTTGTTTTTTAAAAAATTAGAGTTGAATTGGAATTAAAGACATTAGGGTTCCGCAAAACACAAACTATTTTTTAAGGGTTCCGTGATTGTAAAAGTTTGAGAACCGCTGTCTTAGACTACGCGTTATCAATGCACCCGTTTATCATTAACATTTTATAGAAACCTATATAATATCGTAGCAGGTATATAAGCAATCATTTTTTTTTTTTTTTATTCGGTACAATCGCACTGAAGCTTAAACATAGCGTCGTGGAGGTTCACTTTATATGTATTTATGGAAATTTCACCCGAACGAAAATAATACATCTTTCGATGCATAACTAAATACTCTATACCAATACTATAACTATTGGATCATGACACTGGACCGACAACTAATCAGATAAACTACACAAATGACGGCTCAAATAAATTATAATTAATCAAATTAAACCTATAAATATTTAAAAAAAAATACTCGTATAGATATTTATAAAAATATTTATTAAAACAATTTAAATTTAAAATAAAAAAAATATTATTCATAGCGTATACATTATTAGCTTTTTGGTATGGCGCAAGCTAACCTACCATTTAACAATTTATCGATTTTACATTTTATATTAATTTTTTATCATCAGTCAGGTTAATAGCTCATATATTGGATTAATTGCAGTAGATAATCAATAATAAATAATATTGTAGTTTCTTGGTATGTTGAACGTCGATGCTTCAAAGTTTTTCCTACTCCCTTAAGATTTGACATAACGAAAAGGTTAACTGTAGGTTAAACAATTAATAACAATAACAATATAAACAATATATTTTTATATTAGTTTCATATACTGTTGGCTTATTGACTCTTTTTCCTATGATTATATGCATTGAAGTTTTTATTTTATTTTATTTCAGGGAGCCACAAAACTGACAAAGGACGATATCGAGAGAGTATTTTCGTTGTACGATCGAGTAAGTATTTACCATGTTCAAAACAAATTTGAATCATACTTTTGAATTAACAACATGCATAAAAATGTTAAACTTAAAATAATAATAATAATAATACTAATAAAATAATAATACAATAATCTAAATTTCTTGAGTTTTATTTAATCAAATATGAATTATAAAGCATGCAATTTTCACGATGCATGTTTACACTTTCTGGTACAATCATAGTGTGCTGACTTTTTGGATTATTAAGCTAAAATATTCTTCACGTAAAATTATAATTGTTGGACAATTTTAGGAAAATAACGAATTGCCCTTTCTTAACATTCTTATTATTAATCAATTCATATAGATAATACAACTTTTTGGTGACCTTTAAGAAACCTCAAACAGCTAAATAAATTAGTTAATGTAGGTCAAACACACCTTTTAAAATAAATTAGTACGTAATTTTTGATGTTTTTGTATAATAAAAACTATTAACTGGACAGATTAATCTAAATCGTTTGAAGTATTCAAATCAATTAAAACAACAATATCAAAAATAGCAAAATAGTGGCAATCTTTATAAATATTGCAAATCATATTACGGAGCATTGCACAAACCGATTGGTTTGTATTGGTGGAGATAGTTCATTTTGATAAAAGCCAAAATGTATTAGATGAAACAACTATACATTGTTCGCTGCCAATCGCAGTTTGTCAAAATACGTTCACGTGAACACTTTTTTTCTCTTTCAATTTGGTTATGCTAAATTATCTCATACACATCCTATTACTTTCAAATGTACTATAAGATATTATCTTAAAAATAATCCAAGCATTTTGAAAATAAAATGTATAAAAAAAACTACAATTCACATTACATCAATAATATAACACAAAAACTGCTGTAAAATTCCATTCTGGAGCGGATATTATTCAAACTGTTTTTTGGGATAAGAGTTATTATAATTTCAATGTAAACAAAGCTTTATAGTTATTTTTCTGGGAACAAAAATATTTCAATAACAAGTTATAAAATTTGCGTACATATTTTATATGCATGTATAACTCCATTATCTACAAAACTTCAAATTATAAGTCAAACTTTGTTCTTGCGAAATCAGTTCGATTTATATCTAGTACTACATAAGCATACCTTCTAGTTTGCACATGTATGATGTAATAAAATAAATGAAATATCTCTCGGAAAATATTTTACAAATATATCTCGTTTCGAATACATTTTCTGATGTATATTAAAAACGTTAATAAGTTTATAATAACTATACATGCGCGGGTATACCAAATAATATATTCGATGTTTTAATTTGTTCAGTATAGTCTTGGATTTTATCAATAAGATACTTTGTTTATTACTACTATAAATTACATTTTTGAGCGAAAATAATAACAAAAATCATATAATTTATTACATCTGACAAAATTGATGTGAAAAATTTTCACTTAAAATAACGCGCTTTAAAACAATTAAAACTTAAAAAATTAAAACAAATAATCGAGCTTGTTATAATTACCGTCGGGTAAACTATTCAAATGAAAAAATGACTATTAGTACTTATTGAAAACACTGATTAATGATTTACCGATTTGTGTTGCGTGCGAATTATAAGCGATCATATAAAGTTCTTGAAAATTCGATAAAACTTAGAGAATCGACTCAGTCACGGTTGTCTTGGCTAAAACACAACAATAATAGAAATGCTAATTGAAATCCTTCTTGATGATAAGATGGTACAGCCCAAAATTTAATTTGAACAATAATTTAGAACGTTTGACAATGGATTAACTTTGTTGCATCATTTTAGTACAAACGATAAGAATGGATAAGAACTTTAGTGCACTCTTGCGTTAACGCTTATTGTTTAGTTATTAAGCACAGGCATTAATAACGTAGTAGTGTATGTGTGTATGATTGTGTGTGTTTTTGTTTTTTCAAAATAGTATCATAATAATAATATTCACAATTATTCGCAGGATAACAACGGCACAATTGAGAACGAGGAACTCCGAGGTTTTCTGAAAGATCTACTGGAACTGGTTAAAAAGGTCTGTATACCGATACGTGTATAAATTAACTATAAATTCAACTTATATGTACATCTTTTACGATGATATACAATAATGAATTTTAAAAAAAGATTATAAAATCTTTCGAATTTCACGAGCACTTAAGTCTTATAAAATCGTAACATGTGCATGTGTAATATATTAGATACATATAATGAACCAATAAAATGTACTTTTATTGCTCAATATTGGTTTAGGACTACGATGCGGACGACTTACAAGACTTCGAGGAAACTATACTGCGAGGGGTGGATTACAATGACGACGGAAAGATCAACAGAAAAGAGCTGACAATGATACTACTTGCGCTAGCCAAGCACAACCAAGAAGATGACTCGGCCGCTAAAAAGGAATAAACAATTTTCACTCAAAAATCAGAAAAATAAATAAAATTAATCGTGCACAATATTACGTCTTTCCGTGACGAGATTCGTACGCATTTGTTGTTATTTTGATATTATTATTAATTAAAATTAAGTTCATTTGTTGTCTTAAATTTTAAATGTAGGTATATTATACTAATTATAATATTATTACTGGACATAAAATTACTTTTTATTTTGTTATTATTGTATTACTCGGAAGCAATAATTTTCATTCCATAAAAATAGGTCAAAGAATGCTAAAGACTTCTCGATTTCATTCTTAATGCACAACTTGCACTTTGTCTTTCAATTTTCATACTTAAAAATTAAAATCGTTTCTTCCAGGGATTTATGTAAAAGAATAATCTAATAACAATAATATACATAAATATATATTAGCATGCATAGATGTTATTTATAGGTTTATTGAATTAAATATACATATGTATCTAATGCTAATTTTTTGCTGTTATTAGTGCATTTATATTTGTGAATGGTTACATTTTCAACTTATAACGGTAGTCCTAATTTTAGTGAATAGTGATAAGTTTAAAAAATAATAATATCCATTAATATTATTTTACACTTAATTGTCCAACATTCTGTTATTACTGTATAATTGTATCATGTTTCAACGTACAAATATTTAAAAGTTTTTACTTATAAGTGTTCTTTTATTATTATTATTATTATTAATATTATTATAATTATAATTACTTATTTCCGTATACACAATATATTATATAAAAACTTACAACTAAACGTGTTTATTATTTTTAAAAAACTTCGCAGCAATAATTGTTCTGTGCATAATATAATATATGAAAAAAACGTTTAACTGTATATTTAGGAAGACCTAAAACAACTTTTAAAATACAACAAAACATGCATCACAAATATTCTCATAATTTATTGAATACATATTACAGAATAGCCGAACAACTTATGCGCGTACATTCTATTAATTGTTACGCTTTCAATTTTAATAACTTTGAAAACGTTATTATTTTTCAATAACTCCCAAAATGCTTCTGAAATTAATTATTCTGTATATATGCAAGACTCATCGAATGCCTAACAAAGGCAACATGTATTTATGATTTTCAAACGTTAATCGGAGAAGAAAATTAAAAATTATAACAGGTCATTAAATATGTATATATTTGATTTATTATTAGTATACTCGTATATGCAGTATGTAATTAATTATTATAAAAATGTGAAAACACTTTTTATTGCATTCTTAAGTGGAAATTCAGTTTTAACATTAATGATTACTACGTCATAGCAACAATTAATTATTTGAAGTCAAGTCCACACCTTCTATAGTTTTTTTTCTTTTTAATTGTAATCATTAAAAAAGTTTGAACAGTATTCACAGTCAGCGATGGCTGTGCATTACAACATCAATCGTATCGGTCCACTCGCTTAAACGCATCTAACCTAGCTATGCGTATAGTGTTGTGATAATATTATTATACATTTACAAACAACGTTGTACAGATAGTTTTATTCTAAAAAGGTTAGGTTATTTACTATTGTCACGACACTAACAAGAAGTTTTTAAAAACTGCTCGTAAAAACTATAGGTAAACATATAATTATACTAAAACGAACATAGTACGTGTAATATACTAAAACATCTAGCCCTATGTACTCGAAACAATTAATTTTCAATAGACATTTTAACAATTATAAACTACATCTTACAAAACTATGTTAGAGAGTATATAGATTTTTGAGAATTTTCATCTCTTTTACGTGACATTTGAATACGCTGCTTCATACGCTAATTCATAGAGGATCTCGTAACTCCAAGAGCTGTTTATATCAGAGCTTCAAACCATAATGATTTTTTGTGGTTAGGTAATGGTTTTAGTTCATCTACAATATTATTCGATTTTAAAAACTGATTAATATTGATATTATATTTTATAGTTTTTTAAAATCGGTTTTCAATGTAATAAAACCAGTTAATTTTGTTCTTTTAAAAAAATATATTTTTTTATAACATTTTTATACCTCAGACAATTCGTTATCATAATTATCGTGAGATATTCTTAAAATAAGTTCATAATTTATATATTTATAATATATTTTTTTCAGCTTCAGAGGCTGTATATTAATATATAAATATATATTAATATTAACATATATTTAATATATATATATATATATATTAATTTTATTTCAGAGGCCGTATATTAATATACAATAAATAATATGATTCACATTTTTAAATTTTTATTACAATATTGAATATACTAACACATATAATGAACAACATAATTGCAATATTTATAATCGCGTAAGACAAAAAGAAAATCCATATTAATTCAAAATGTTGAATAAATTTACAAATATTTGATAAAATTTAAGATAACATCATCGTCCATTAAAAGCTGTATTGTAACAATAAACAATGTGGTTTCTAGTTGTCATTAATCGTGTTGACATATTATCTATAGTAGTGCAGGGTTACGACCAGTAGCCTCACTTACCAACTGTTCAATTTTTATCTTGCGAATTATTTTATATTTATATAATTATTTTTACCTGTCTTTTATCAAACAAAATAGGCTGACTAACTTAACAAAATGTGTAAAAACTAAAATTAAATATTAATTATTTTTCGTAATTAAAAATGTAAATTTATTTCCGTTCGAGAACGAAAAGTATTTTTCTGGTAAACTATTTTGTTTTCGTTCTGTAAAATTAGTAATTGTGGTTCTATTTTTGTTTTCGTTCAAACACATTTTTAAAAAAAAAAAAACGGTTTTAACTGGTTTGAAGACCTGGTTTATATTAAAGAAAAAATGTATTTACTCGCTTATTCTACGGTACAATATACGTTTTATGCTTAAATGAAAATAATTAGCTTTTTATTCTGGTTCATGTTGTAGAAACATTTCATTGTCAAAAAAATTTAAACTTAAAATTAATTAATAAAACTAGGGGGAAAAAGGCAAATCTTTTAGTTTAGGTAAGATACAGAGATGGGTGATAATACTATGTATAAATAGTATTGAATATTACGTGGCTTTTTATACCTCCCCGCTCCCCTCATTTTAGGGGTTTATGGGAGCCATCGATTAAATCAATTAAAACCCATTTATATAAAGTGCTGGGTGCAGCTCATTTGACCTACGATTAACTAAATACTATTTTGTTAAGAATAGAGGCTGTCCTAAACTCCCAACCCTTATTATTCCTTATTATTGTTCCTTATTATTCCTTATTATTGCTTACCTTTGTTCTTCTGATGCTGACATGACCACTGACATTGACAAGTAGAGTCGTGTGGATCCAGGCAAATGACGACGCGTTCGTAACCGTATAGCTAAGAAGAAAAGTTCCTAGAGTGGCTCGTAAGCCATGTCTATTTCCATTTTAAGTAAATAGTCCCTAAACTTTTACAAGTATAAATTTATAACCAATAGAACTTTTATGTATTATATCTTTTGTAAAAAAGAGAGAATATACTTCCATCTCTAAATATTTTTCATGTATATTTTTTATTTACCCATTATTATTGATTTGCCTTGCAATAAGCTAATTTTGCTTTAATTTCATAAAAAAACCACTCTCTTGAAATAATTGGCCAAGGTGTAAATTATTCTATCCATTTAGCCAATAGGTTATATTATATTCAAACCAACTATTAAAGAAATCTTTAATTTAGCGAGGATTCGAATTATAAAGGAAGAAAAAAAATATAAATTTAAATTAAAGAGTGTCGAACCTTATTATTGCAATACCATATATATATATATATATATATATATTTATTATTTCATTTATTTATATTTTTTTATTCATAGCAGTTATTTATTGCACTAAGTAAATATTACATAAATATTTATTAGTTATACATATATTAAGTTAAAGCTATTGTACAGAAACTCAAGGCAATATATATTTTTTTCACCAATTTTAACTGCCTCGGTCACTTCTTCTATAAAAGCGACACACCCTAAACACTTACGTGAATACTAAACCCATTTTCAAACTAGCTACATTTCAATAAATTACTGCTACTGTTATTACGTTCCAACTAAATACACGTTCGTAAGTTGAGGCACGTTGACACTTTTAATCAAATTAATTTGAGCTAATATTAAATAAATACGTTTTATTTACTAAGGTTCTAACTAAAAATATTTGAATTGTAGAGTGTTTACCGCTGTTTCACACTTCATTATTTTCACTATTTATCGAGGGGACCGAAATACATGTATTTTCTTCGAGTTATAGAGGTTTTCTCAGGGGACCAAACATTTAGTTGGATTTATAGAGAGATTCAAACTATCAAGAGTCTACTGTATTATAATTTAATACTACGGTGTACGCACGTGCTTGATGCGAGTTGGAATTCGTGTCAGAACTAAAAGGAAATTCTATTCGACGTATTGTATTAAAATCGCAGTCACGAAAACTCTCAGGGATCATATGATTAACGTGGTGATTGTTGAGAAATATTAATATATTACCTGCACTCATAGGAAAAAACATTTTTACGTGACAAGACGTTGTAACAGAGAACAGGATGAAGAAAAATATGTGATATGTGATAAAAACTTCATGAATGGAAATCCAACACCATAAATAGGTACTACTGCACCATTTAATATACTTTTTACTAGTTTTATGTACAGGGGCGGATTGGGTTAATATTTGAGGCCGGGAATTTTTTTTGCCAAGCCAAAAATTAACAGGGGACCAATAGTCTATATATAATATCTATATATAATACTTATGACCATAAGTATGCAAAAAAAAAAATAATAATAATGATAAAAACCTTTATTATTTAAAAAATATTTTCAACATTTTATGTAGATATATAAAATTACACATAATATGTAAGACATTTTTTTTATAGATACAGTGTACACAATTTAATATAATACCTATATATTAAAATTAACTCTTAAAGTAATTCTTTTTTTTACATAATTAGGTTTTTTTTCATAACTTGACTAGTTTCCCCAATTCTATCGATTAAAATA